GAATTCTTACAGAATAGACCCCATATACAGCTAAAATATTACTTATTTAAATCCATATTGGCTCATTAAATAAAACTGTCATACATATTCTGATAAAACAAAGTGTAATTTGTTCGAAAACTCATTAAAACGAATAGTCATGCAAATTTTTTATTGTTTGTTGGTAATTGATGCACAATTTGTGAGTTTAGGTATTTATTTTTTAACGATTCGGCGCTTGCATGCAACTATCCTTCCATGAAAATAAAAGAAAAATAGAAATAGAGCAGCACTATTTTTATTTCAATTTTATGAAACCGACATATTGCGTGCAAGTAAAATACATTAAAGTGAATAAATCCATATTTACAAATTTCAACCATTTTTTCATTTATTAAATAAAATGAAGCTTTTAAGTTAAAATTGATTGAAGACCATCTGGACCTTGCAAGAAATTTAAATAGTCCGATGGGTGAAGGTCTACTTGAAGCACGTTCATTAAAAGGTCTTTGTATATTTATACGAAATCACCATTTTAAAAAATCGAATAAAAAAAAATCAGAGAATCCGAAACCAAAGAGTCAATGCCATTCGATTCATTAATAAACATTTATTTATATTTTATTATGTCTTAATTTGTAGTCACTTCGTGCTTGATGTCCCATTACGGGGCAATGTCACCGACACCATTGGAATAATGATAAAAAAATATAGGTTATAAATATAAATTAGTTTGTCTGGTGTTTATTAAAAAAATATATTTACTATTCCAGCCAGTAATGGTATATTTAAATAAAAAAATTAATCAGTTGAAAAAAGAAATGGTCCCCTTTTATTATATTATGAGAAAATACAAATCATCTGTATTTCTTAATGTACCATTTTCAGTTATATAGAACACATAATGGATTGTTTACATATTGTATAAAGCCAACATGAGTTAACATTGTAAGCGGTTTTAGTAAAAATATTCTAATTGAACATTGATGTCAAGTTTACGGAGCTTTTAATATTAATAGTGCAATATACGCAATGTCGTGGGTTCTCCAAATTATCGGAAGAAATTTTACGTCTGACATCAGTGTAGTGACAAGCACTGATATTTAAATATAAATAAATAAATAAATAATAATTTATTTGCAGTATTACAAATACAGTAGCATTAAAATACATACATTTTATTTAATTTAATACCACAAAAAGGAATAGCAGACAGCAGAGCTGATATTAGTTGCTATCCCTGATAGTGTAGACAAATTATTAAAAAAATAAAACAAAGATTAAATAAATTTTGGCACAATCGAACCAAAAGTATAAATATAAATTTTTATGCACGTAAATTTACATTTTATTATTACATAGAAAGATTATCTTGGCTAGATATTTTCTGACATCAATCAAGAGACATTTGTACTTTTTCTTAAATATAATTGTCGAGAGATGTTTTAGTTTAGGAGGAACCAGGTTATATAGTTTAAATATCATATAAGAGAATGAACCTTGAAATTTGGAGGTACGATGGTGAGGTGGAGATATATGCCCTCTAAACCTTGTATGCACATTATGCACATCACTTCGAAATGTAATTTTATTATAGAGATAAGGAGGTGACTTTAATAAAATGATCTTGTGATACAACGTTACCATGTGTAGTTTCCTTCTAGATTCCAAATTTAACCAGTTAGTTTCAATTAGTTTGTAACTAATTCTTTCGTATTTTTTTATACCATATATGTAGCGAAGACAAGAATTTTGGACTCTTTGAATACGATTAATATCCACACAGTCAATACAAGGCCCGTAGATGACATAGTAGTAATTAAAATGACTGAGAACCATTGTATCACAAAGTAGTATTTTTGTACTTTGATCTAAAACATGGCGATGCGGGTAAAGCATTTTCAAATTTGCGTAAGCTCTTTTTATACAATTATTTACATGGCTTCTAAATTTTAAGTCAGTGTCAAGTTGAAGTCCCAGATTTTTGGCAACATCTACACAAGCCACCAAAACACCATCAATACTCACAGATAATTGCTCTGTTAGTTCTTTTTTATTTTTACCAAATACCAGTATTTGTGTTTTGGTGGGATTAATAGTTAGCTGATGTCTGTTAGAAAAATTTACGATTTTTATTAATTCTGTGTTAATCATTTCATTAGTGACAGTATTATTCAAATCAGACAAATAAAACCTTATTTGCGTATCATCTGCATATATATATAAACTCTGCCATTGGTGATATTTTTAATATTAGATCTACCGGCACTTGTTTCCATTCCTTATCTTTTTTAACAAACAGAAACTTTGATGTTTAGAACAGCTTGTCCAATAAAAAACATGTTTAAAAATATTTCAGTCTTTTTTTCTAAACAATTAATTATTTTTAAACCATATTAACTTACTATTAACTGTTTATAAGTCATTGTAAATTGTTAGGCTATATAGAACCTACTTCTCAGCCTTTAATTGTGTTTAATATAATAATAATTGTAATCAAACAATCTTTAGTTTGTCTATGTCCCATTCTTAATGAGGCACCCTGTATATAAATTGGGTCCAGTCGACCTATTTTTACCTCTACAATACGTGGTATCACTATGTCCTAGCAATATTGGAACACCGTGTATATCACCCTGTATAAGTCATTTATAAACATAATGAAAATTACTAGTCCTAATATGGAGCCCTGCGGTACGCCAGCAGGTATATTTTTTTTACGATTGATTTGTGATTTTCGACAAACACTACTTGTTAACGATTATGAAGAGATTACTCTTTATCCAGCTATTAGTAGTACCTCTCACACCGATTTATTCTAATTTTTCCAACAAGAAGTCGTCAATCCAGTCATAAGTCCGGTTTGAGTCGAAAAATAAAGCTAGCGATAATTTTTTATTGTTTAAACAATTATACAGGGTGTTAAAAAAAAAGTGTCACAAAATGAAATGGTGAATAGTATGACCCAAAATAAGCAGAAAAGTCTTAATAAATATATGACCGCAAATTAACGGTTTCGGAGATACGGACCATTTTGTGTTTATAACAATTTTTTATTATTATAAAAAAACAATGATATTTATAAACAATCAATAACAACATAGAGTTAAATGAGATGTTCAAATACTGACGTAGCGCTTCCCTCGCATTGCCATTTGCACGACCGTACATAAAATGCATGTCAGCTAATTCAATATTAGTGTAAACAGGCATAACGAAAATTTATAAAATTAATCACCCACAACAAAATAATAACTGCAAATAGTATCTATGAAAAAACATCGGTAGACTCCGATAAGAAAAGCAAGTTTTTGAGAATGAAAAAAGATATTCAAAAAATGATACAAAAACCATTCATTTGCGGACATATGTTTATTAAGACTTTTCTGCATATTTTGGCCCATACTACCCCGTGTTTTATTTTGTGACACTTTTTTTTTAACACCCTGTATATTAAGTTATTTAGGCAGGCTATGGCAGCATAGTTGAAGTATTTTTTTTTCTAAAACCATGTTGATTGACTGACAGATAATTATGTCTCTATAAAAAGTCAATTAACCTTTTATTAAATTGTATTTGATTAGAAATAGTGTTCATATAACTCTTCATAAATAGCGCCATTGTTTTAATAAAAAGGGACTGGACAGGAGCCCCTATTTTCTTTATGTAAAGTGATAACCAGTCAATGACTAGTTTTCGATATAAGTTGAAATATGCTCAATTTTTTGAAATTTATATTTTTAAATTTACAAGCTAAATTGAATTTCTGTTGCATACACATGTTTATACATGTTTTAGTAATACACTAGTATGTACTTTTCTTAATATGAAATACCTTCTAAGAAATTATTCACCTTTTATTTTGAAGCTTAGAGGTACACTTATTTTAGAGGCATTATCTTTTCCAAAATCCAATTCACAGGGTTTTGAATTAATCCGTAAAAAATAATAATTTTATGTTGTGGTTCTCTCTATAAAACACCCTGTATAAGAATTGTGTACTGTCGCCAGAATTCTATATAAATTAGTACTTTTTAAAAATATGTTTCCCTGACGTCACAAAAAATTACCGTCATACATTTGTGAATCACCCTGTATTTATAAATATTTTTATTTGTACGTATGTACTAATGTAGGTATTAATAACATGTAGTAAACGTGTGTATGCAATAGAAATTCATATTAACTTATAATTTTGAAAATAAAAATTCCAAAAAACTGGGCAATTTTCAACTTTAATATCCTGTATCTAGAAAATTAGTAATAGGAATAAGTTGGTCCTATTGACACTTTTGATTACTAGGTTGGGTACAATATAGATATTAAAGTTTAATAAATATAACAGGTCGCTCCTTTACATAAGGAAAGTGCGGGTAAATTTGATAACAATAATAATACTATTTAATTTTCGCGATATTTTCCCACGGCTCTCGTATTTTTATTTATATCATTTTATTGTTTGTGAATAATTTTTTCACAATTAAACCCAATTTATTTCACAAATAAATGAATTTCTTCAAAATTTTATGCCCAGCTACGATAGTCGTTGTTAAAGAACATGTAAAAAAAATTAAAAAAGAACACAATAACGTTTTTTACCTACATAGGTATATTAATTGAAGTCTAAATAAAGATTAATTATTAATTATAATTATTTCCCTTTATTATTATTAGTTTGAGCAAGTCAATTATTTAAAATATATTTATATCTACTCAATATTATAGCTTTTACGTTATTTTTTTATGTTTAGGCACCTAATTAACGAAAAAATATGCTTATAAATTAAGTTTTCTTCCAATTACATTCATAAAAATGTTAAAAAAGATTGTATATATCCTACATATTATAATCTTTGTTTTCCTATAATCAAAAATAACTACGAAAGGAAATAATAATTTTTTATTACTTTTCATTTGATTTTAAACGATATTTTGAATAAAAAAACACTGTTTTTTCTACAGATACGTCTTATAGTCTTTTATTACTCATAAATAATATGTTTGTCATGAATTAAACTTACTTTATAACAGTTTGATTGACCCCAGAAGTCATACCTTCCAAAATTCTAAACAAAATACACAAAATCCAAACTTAAAAAATCACCACACGCGATTCTCAAACGATCATATCGAATTAGAAATAATTTGTCTGTATTCTCGAAAAAAATTATTTGAACAACTTGTTCCGTTAGTTGTGTTTACAGATATATCGAAAGAAGGAGAGGATGGTTTCACACTCTCTCTTCTATGTTGACCCGCTGAAGCTGCTATCAGCCATCAGCCATATCACCCGGCTATATAACAAACACGTTGGAGACCCCCTCCAAGAATTGGGAGGAGAGGTAAATATACCTGTGCGTGTGTGCATTCGTTTACTACAGGTGTATAGAAACTAGAAACAATTCGAGACAGTAGCGATAGACGCTTCTTGGTTATTTTGGTTTAACCATTCTTTAAATCCCCATAAATCCATGGAAAGGATGGAAAGAGTATAGTAGAATTGTAATCGACAAGGAGTAATAAATCAAAATTTTATAGGTGTTTACAGCACAGGCGGCTTAAACAAAGTCTGTGAGTTTAAACAGCCGGCAGTTATAAGGTGTGTTGATTTAAAAAAAATTTACCTGTAGACCAGGGTCGATAATTTTGAAAATGGTAAAAAGTGAAAAAAAATTGTAATAGGATGAAACCCGTTAAAAAAGGACGAGAATATAACAAAAATGAAAAGAAAAATAATTTACGAGCGATCTGAGGTCGGGAAGTGGAAGGGGGTGAGTTTTTAAGGGTAAAAAACGGTGTATCTCGATTTCCGGCAAAACTACAAGTCCTATGGAAAAAAATTAAATGACAAAGTTGTAGGTAATAAAGAGACCTACAACTCTTGTAATTACACCTTTTTGACATAACCTCAAAATTTATGTGAAAAATTCAAATAATTCAAGTTTTTGGTTTTTTATTTTTATCATATACAAAAAAAAATTTTTTTCACGAAATTTTGTGAAAACTTACCTTTTTATGCCCTAAAGACACTGTAATTTTTTTGATTTGAAATATTTATTTTTTCACCCTAATTTTCAATCGAAAATGCTCGCGTCAAAATATCAGCTTTTTAAAAAAGTCGGGGAGTTTTTTGTTCACTGAAATCTCTTCTTTCTGATAATGTAAAAAATATATACATTACTATGGTAAATGTTCTCAGAAAATGCATTTTTTAAAGTAACCTGCATACCGAAATAATACTCAATAATATATATATTCAAAAAAATATATTTTTAAATGATTATTATTTTATGTACTTCCTAAATAATAATATAGGAACTCACACCTGAAATTTCCTGATCTGAGAGATATATAACTATAGTTCAATGTTATTTGTAAAAACTTTAAAAATAATATATAAAAGAACCTACTTTCAAGTTTTCTGCACTTTATAAGGATAATGAAGTTTTAAATATTCAAAAAGCATGTAATAATAGCCATTATATGCGAATAGAATACCATATTTTATCCACGACTGTTAGATATTTACGAAAATACTCTTTGAAACATTATTTTTATTATTTATAATATGAAAAACAATAATAATAATAATATTAACTAATTATAATTCAAAATTATTTATTTATGTTAATTGTTAACGTCTAAAAGTCTAAATAATTAATATTTCTATTGTTTGTAGAAGTGTTTTGTTTGAATAATTATTTACGTATATGGAAATTTATATTTTTTTAGCTGTATATTTTGTTTTTTATGGAGTCTATGTAGCCATTAGCCACTTCCATCCGCCATGGCGTCTCAAAGTTAAACTAAATCCAAAGTCTTTTTATTGTTTTCAAAAGAATGTCAGAAATAAAAATTGACCAAAAAATAATTTGACGAATAACGTCACATTTAAAAATATATTACTACAAAGTTTCCAATAGCAACATCGTAATATCAACAAAGATACATAAAACAAGTTGAATAACGTCACATTTGAAACAAATACAGTATTTTCATATAAATATGTACCCAAAATTATAAAATTATGACACTTATCTTCTTAATAACAGTTTAACTGGATGGTAATGATTAATTTGTGACACTGTTCTTTCAGCTCGAGAATTACAAAACAGATGAATTAAGAAAAATGACACTATAGGTCGGGACGAAATGACAATTCGATATAATGAAACAGTGACACTATTGCCTCTTCGGGTACATAATAGAATACAAGTTGTGTCATTGTTTCCCGAAACATTTCAGTGTTTTTATATTTTATGTATTTACATTGAAAATAATAAATTTTGAGATATGTCACTATTCTGTGGGTACGATATAGTAAGAGATTAAAATTTAAGTCAAAACTACTTGGTACACAACAGGAGATTTCCGACTTCCTTTTTTGGTTCAGTCAAATTATGTATCACATGCGATCCAATGGCGCCGCCGCCACTTACAATATTCTTGATTTTCTGGCAATCTGGCGCAATTTCAGCAACTTCATTCACTTTTGTCGGAGTTTTATCCATTTTCTGAATAGATTTGTTTCTTAGTTTTTGGTAAAAATATTACATAAATTGTTTTGCAGTCAAAATTTGAAGTTTCAGCCGAGAATACCGATCAAGGAGAAGCGACAGTAGCTGTCGGTGCCTTTGATATCGGATGGACCTTTTTCACAGCATGACTTTGATTAATAAACAACTTAATACGCTGAGAAAACATGCTTATTTTCTACACTGAGCGAAACAGTTTGGCAAATTATCTGAAATCATTGTTATAGTCCATGCGCAAATGTTGTAATGTGATTTAATTACATCATTGAAGTAGTTAGGGTTAATAGCAATTAATAATCATGATATTTACTGTTCGTAGTCCTTTGGAAAAGTAAATAAACTTAATCCTTGGCCGGTTTAGTACGAACAAGAACGGTATGCACAAGAATGTCCAGATCTAGACATTCTCTTACAACACAAAGAAACACCAAAAAATATCACTTAACAGCTCACAGACTAAACACAACTTGGACTGACTTTGACAGATAACATGATTTTGAGTAATACACAACCTATTTTCGCACATGCGCGTATCAAAACGGTACACTGAAAACACCAAGCTGTCGCTTCTCCTTGATCGGTATTCTCGGGTTTCAGTTTGATTAGATGACATCCGCGACCTACTAATAAAATGGGTAAAAATTGTAATCTTTATATAATTCTTAAACACATTGGAAGGGTAGTGACAAAAAGTAGTGAATAATATTTTAAAATTGTCGTTGACAAACACTTTTAAAGGAGGCTCAATTTTTTAAATAATTTGACATTACAGAGTGACACTAATTTAAAATAACTACCTATATGTAATTTCACAGTTAACAGGCAAAGCCAACCATATACATCAACCGATTTCATTGTGCTGGAATGCGTAAAATAAGCTCCATAAGAAATGCGCTGGATTTAAAAATCGTTGATATTTAAAATAGTTAGGTCAAACCGAAAATTCTGAAAATCTATAGGGGGTTCTAAGTTATAAGAAATTATCCAAGAAAATCGAAACCGCAAGTCGATCGGAGCTTTTGTTTTGAAATTATCGCGTTGGCATACATACGCACAGACAATCAGGCGAAAATTGTTTGCTTTTTAGACCTAAAAAGAAGAGTAGTGTTAAACAGTGGGGGTAATAACATTTTTTGTCGCCACGAATGCGATACCCAGACCTAATAGGTAAGGGTGTTGTAATAAAGACGACGATTTTCCTAAGAAATAATATGACATCCCAATTTTACCAAAAATTCGAACTTCAAAGTATATAAACATCCTTCAAAAATATAACAGAACTAACTACTAACAACAATTTTGTATATCTAACAAAGGAAATCCTCAGTAATAGATTCATTTTTAATCCTTTTAGCTATGAGATCTCTAACTTTTTTAAGGTAATTGTTTCCTTTTGGTTCTCGGGGCAATAGTGGACGTATTATGCCAAGCCATCTGTTTTTTTTTCGTTTTTCACAAATCTTTTTGTTTTACTATAATTAAAAATAACAAATTATTGCGCCTCAACGTGTCCTAGTTGTACACCAGTTAAATATGTGATTATCTAAATTGTTACAGATAAACGACAAACCAAGCCAAATATCAAAATAAAAAAAAAGGAAATAAGGTTGATGTTTTCCTGCATTAATCATAATTAAGTGTAAATACAATTATTTTTTGGCTCTGGATATATGCGTCTGTCCATCTATAATGAACTTGTACTTATGAAACAGACATGTTCTAAAATACATATTTTCATTTTATTTTGAAATTTAATAAGTGTTATATTGTGTGACAGATGATGTGTTTGGTTTTTATTATACAGAGCATCACAAAGTTTTGCATCTAATCAGAGAGTAGGTAATACAAAATTATGATAGTTTGTAGTTATTACGACTAAAAGCCTAATATTTTCGATATATTCGTAGAAACTGCTATCAAAAAGTTATACTAACATCCCTGTATGTATATGTGTAAGGGGTAATTGACTTAAAATTAAATCTATTAGTTACAGACTTTTTAAAAAAAATTACTACCTCAGCTTAACATTATAATTATATGTACAGTCTGTTCGCTATACTTACGCGGGTTTCGGATTAACATAATTATGCAAATTAGTCATTGACAACCAGTTCCAATAAGCCTCTTCCCAAGAAATTAGGTAAAATTGCCCTAATGGTGAGATTTAAATTAAAATAACATTAGGGTAGGTACTAAATTTGTTACAAATATTGCAGTTGAATTGATTCTTTGCAAGTGTTGACATTGTATGTATATTGTAAATTTAGTGGAAATTTTAAAAATGCCTAGACGTGTGTTAGATGTAGATAGTCTAATTTGTAGTGTACATAAGTATTTTACGGATGAAAAAGAAAATGGCGGTCTTTTAAAATCGGTAATGTCTGTACAACAACGCGTATGCGATGCTCTAGGAATTAGTGAAACCAAATTAAGAGTATTACAAAATCACAATAGTGAACTGCCGAAAGAAGATCATTGCAAAACTCGCCCATCATTGAAAAAGAAAGATATTCCAGATGGAAAGAAATTTGAAATTCGTGATACCATTTATCGAATGAGGATCATGTGACCTTAAATACAATTCTCTCGGAATTAATAGATAGAAAATTTGACGCCATTGGCAGAACAAGTCTGTGGCAAGTGATACATAACTTGGATTTCAAATTTCAAAAGGAGGATAACAGAAAGGCCTTTGTGAAAGAAGTTCTGTCGTGCACAAGAGAATTAACTCTCTAAGAAAATATTCTAAATTTAAAGAAGAAGGGGCGAATTTTATATATTTAGACGAAACATGGATATTTTCTAGGGGTGCAACCAAGAGAATATGGCAAGATGATAACGTAAAGTCCAATAAACATACTGATGGAGAAGGGA